ATTGTTCTGAGAAGCAAGGTGCTCATTAGGGGACAGTTTTGTTGTGCAGAAGAATACTAATCCGGTAATACTTTTTAGGGGAAGTAGGTTTGCTTACAGGCGCATTAAACTCTAATGAATTTAGAATGAGAATTTAAAGTAAAAGGATAGCCTCGAAATATAAATGTGATAAAATGAAAGGGTGAAGTCAGGGAATAACGAAATCGGAGCAGATATAAACTCATCTGGATTTATTCCTTGCTTGTGAGGATGCCAGCGTCCTATCCCGAGTTGCCAAGGAAGGTGGAGTATTCAAAGCTGACCTGTCTTATAGGCTTCAGTCTTAAATTGATTCTTGATTTCTGTTCAATAGTTTGAAGTGTTTAGTTTAAGTGATGTTTGAACTTTGTGGTAGGATTCTAAAGAGACAGTTGATAATTGCATACTTTTAGCTTAATTTGGTCTGAACTTGAGTGGATTTCGTCCTTTCACTAACTAATACCACTTTCCCAAATCAGCTCCGTAAGGACTGGGCCCTAGACTATCTGGTTTATTGTTGTATCACTAACTCCTAGAATTTGGTAGGGTCTCAAAAATGACAAATAAAAATTTGTTAAATGACATATGTAATGTAATTTTCATTGTGCAACTTTTTAGCCAGTGTTTACTCTTCTGGAAAATTAGAATTTTCATATGTTCAGAATCTGAGAAAATGACAAATAAAAATTTGTTAAATGACATATGTAATTTTCATTGTGCAACTTTTTAGCCAGTGTTACTCTTCTGGAAAATTAGGATTTTCGTATGTTCAGAATCTGAGGTATGCTTAAGAGTACATAGTAATAATTCCTAATTTGCTCACTATATTATTGTACATGTTTGTGAGGATATAAAGGAATATGTTAACCGGGCAGAGTGGCACAGTTGGTTGAGCATCTTCCCAGACACCCACAAGGTTGTGGGTTTGATCCCTGGGAAGGGTGACACTGGATGCAATCAGTCGATGTTTCTCTCACAAATCTATGTTTCTCACTCTCTCTGCCCTGCCTCTTTTCTTAAAATCAATAAAAATATCCTGGGTGAGTATTTAAAAATAATAATAATATTTGAAACTACAAACATTATTTTTTGCTTTGCATATAGGTTGTCATCGGGACTCCCACATTTAAACAAAGAAAGGCAATTCTTCAGGTGATTACTTCTAAGATGCCCATCTCCAGTCAAGTCGATTTGAGTCTCCTTGCAGAAATGACAGTTGGCTATGTTGGCGCAGACCTGACCGCACTCTGTAGGGATGCTGCCCTACACGCTTTACATCACAGTGAGAAGGTAGGAAACTGATCTATGACCATGTATGTTAATTTTTTAAATTAAGATAAATTAATTTGGGGGATTAAAAAAAAAGTGGTAAGTACATTTTCTTGGGACTTTTGATACCTTCCACAGCTGCTTCTTACATATATTTTTACATCTGAAACATTTGAGAATATACTGTAGCAATGATGCCCCTATAGCCTTGAAAACGCAAGTGTATATTTCCTAAAAACAAGAATTTTAACCAAAGTATAGTGATCAAGATGAGGAAATTAACACTGACACCATACTTTTACTGAATCTATATAGGCTTTATCCAAATGTCACCATTTGTCTCACATTTCATATAGAGCAAAATTTAAAAGGAAAAGCGAAAATACTACTTTTAATCCAGGATTACACACTGCATTTAATTGTCATGATTTCTTAATCTTTTAAAATCTAACCATTTTTCAGTCTTTCTCTTATGACTTTAACTTTTTAAGAGTATAGGTCAGTTATTCTGTAAAATACTCCTCAGTTTGACTAATGTTTCTTTATAATTTGACTCAGGTTTTGCATTTTTGGCAGAAATATCATGATACTGTGTTCTCATTGAATCTATTAGGTAACTTTGATTTCTTGGGTAAGATGGTATCTCTGACATTTTTCCATTGCCATAATACTATTTCCCTTTCTTATTAATAAGTATAGGGAAAATAACCGTTTCTAACTCAGGAAAAGATTGGGCACCTGTAATTTTTTAAAAATTTGACTTTGACATTCAAATCTTTAATTCATGATTACCTTTCTTAAAATATTTAGAATATTAGCTTAAATGCAATAGTTTTTAACATTACAGATTGAGAAATCTGTTTACTTTGTATGTAATAAGTAATGCTGAATTTCTAAACCCCTTTAGAAAAAAGTTAATTTCAGCATACTGAAGATTTGGGGACAACGTTTATAAATCTCTGTTGTAATGGTAACATTTTCCTTTGATCTTATAAATTTGAAACCCAATTTAAACTATAAAAGGATGACTTACCCTAAAGGATCTCTTTACCTAGATAATTTATATCCTTCCTTATTTTCTTTTCATATACATTTACTCTTACACTGAAGGAGGGGAAGGAGTTATATGAACTTATGTCCTCATCTTCTGAGTTTGAGCCAAAACTGCTTGAAGATTTAATGACAAATCCCAGGTGTAAAGGTGTATTTTGCCTTTTGCGGGGATGAAGAGAAGATCAGGGCATGGGAAAGGAGATGTACATTTAGGATTCCTTTGCTTTGAAGTTCCAGGTTTGACCTTAAGCACCTTGGCTTAGGTGTGCCAGCCAGCCTCTGTCATCCTAGGGTGGAGCCCAGTGCTACTTGAGGAGGGGCCTGCCCAGGCATAGTTACCACAGGTGATGGCTGAGTTCATAAACAACCAGGGGAAGTGGAAGAAAGAAAGGCAAAAAGGGCCCTAACCGGTTTGGCTCAGTGGCAGAGCGTCAGCCTGCGGACTGAGGGGTCCCAGGTTTGATTCCGGTCAAGGGTATGTACCTTGGTTGCGGGCACATCCCCAGTGGGGGGTGTACAGGAGGCCCCTGATGGATGTTTCTCTCGCATCGATGTTTCTAACTGTCCCTCTCCCTTCCTCTCTGTAAAAAATCAATAAAATATATTTTTTTTTTAAAAAAAAAAGGAAGAAGGGACAGAGGCATCTGGAGAGGTACTGGCTCCATCTTTTCCTTCTTTCTCCCTCCAGGCAGCTGAGGGACTGGTACTGCCTCTGTCTGTGCCAGGGCAGACATGAGACACATTAAAGTTGTTCATGTTGAAGTTCTTACTAAAAGATGAGAAATACAGTTTAATACATGCACATATGCATACAGAGGGAAAAGAATTTTATCTGCCTGAAAGGATTATGAGAAGCAAGTGAAATGATGTAGGTGTTACCTAAACATTAATTAGTACTCAGGTACCCAGCATCTAACACTGCCAATCAGTTAAAAATTATTTAATAGTGTTCTTTTTAAGAAATTAAACAAGATAAAAAATTGTAAAGAAAGTAAAGATTGCCTAAAATCTTTCCCAGAGATTATAAATATTGACATATTTTAAGGAATGCTGTTCAGAATTGCTCTATACATATATATTAATTTACATAATCTTACATAAATGGGATAAAATAGTTATTGAAAATGGGAATTTTTGGACAAGTAAATGTTTAGAATTTGATAGAAGAGGGCAAATACTTTTAAAAAATACAGATATTACAAATAGAAATATGAGTTTTTAACTCTAACAAAAAACTTGCTTCACTAGAATGATTAAGGAAATTGCTCTTCGAAATATAATCTTAGAGTAAATATGGACTTTCTTAGGATAACATAAAACCTAATAGCCAAAAATGAAATGATAGAGAAACAGTCCAGGAGAAAATAGGTAATAAGGTATGAACAGGATTACAAACGGCCAAGAAACATGAAAAATTCTCTTTAAAGATTAGTCTCTTTCAGTTCTTAACTTTCTATTTTGAAATAAATAAAATTTTAGGGAAAGTTGCAAGACAGGTAACTTCTGCTACATCTTTTATCCAAATCCACCAGTTTTTAACATTTTGCCTAATTAGCTTTATCATTTTCTCTCTCTTTGTATGTATTTTTTTCTGAATCATTTGAGGTTGGGTTGCATACATCATAACCATTATCTCTTAATATTTGAACAGACTTACTGTCTGTTTCCTGACAACAAAAGTATTTTCATACATGACTATAGTATGGTTAAATATAGTCATTATATTCTGGAAATTTAATATTGATACAAAATGTTATCAATTCTACAGTCCACATGCTGATTTTGGTAATGGTTTCAATATTTTTAGCATTTTTTTTCTTCAGTAGAGAATTTTGTTCAGAATAATATATTACACTTAGTTTTTACTTACTTTTATTCTTGAACTCCTCCATGGCCTTTTATTTTGTGAGTGAGATATTTGACATTGACATTTTTTAAGGATGCGGGTCAGTGATGTTACAGAATGTCTCTCAGCTTGGGTTTGCCTAATGTTGCTTCATAGATTCAGGTTATGCATGCCTGCTGGGAATGCTACCTTACGTCATAGTGTGTCCTTCTTAGGGTAGCGGAAGATTCCCACCATCCCTCATTGGTGATGCCACTAAGTAGTGACTGATGTGATCATCCAGTCCAGGTTCTGTCCAGTTCTCACTATATAGCTGCTATATTTCCCTTTGCAACTAACACATCGATGAGGAGACCCTTTGAGATCATGCAGATATCCTGCTCTTCATCAGACTTTCCCTCCCCTAGATTAGACTCCGTTCTTGCTCAAAGAAGCCTTTACTGTGATGGTTCCAAAAAGTGATTTTCTAGTTAAATTTAATTAGCACAATTCTGAGTCTCATTTCCTCTGTCACATTGGGAGAAATTTACAAGTTTGGTAATGTCCAGTGCCGGAGAGGTATGGGGAGAACAGCAGCTAAGTATTCATTGGTGCAGCTTTGAGGACAGTCTGGTAATAGCTGTCACAACTATAAATGTACACATACTCTTAAACCCTGTCGTTGTGCTTTGAGGAAATTACAGAAAATACTTGATATGTAGAAGTGAGGTAGAAAAAAAGGAGTGAGGTAGAGTTCTGTTAGTTGACATGAAAAGATTTCTAAGTTTTAAAAAAAGTACAAATATGTGTGGTGTGGTCTCCCATTTGTGTTATCTGTTTGAAAGGATATACTTATTATTATAAAACCTACTAGGAATACACAGGAAGCTTGACATCCTCAGGGATGATTGGTTGGGGGGAGAGGTTCTAGTTTTTTTTGTACCGTATATATAAATTTCATTATAAAATTCAAAAGAAGATAAAAAACGTAATTATTCCAAAAATCTCACCTCACTTTTAGTTTGATTGTGCTTTTTTTGAGTGCTTTTCTTCAGAACCAGGACAGTCCGATGATTGATGAAACAGACTTCCTTGAAGCTTTTAAAAAGATTCAACCTTCATCATTTCGAAGTGTCATTGGACTGATGGACATCAAGCCTGTTAGCTGGGAAGAGATTGGTGGCCTTGAAGATGTAAAACTGAAGTTAAAACAGGTGAGATGGCGAATCTGCTGAAGCCAGTAGAATATTACAGCTTACATGTAATGTCTTTATGATGAAAACATGCTATGCCGAAACGGCTCTTGCCACCATCACTATTTTGATCCTCACATTTAAATCCAGTGATCACTTATCAGTCCTTATTTAACTGGACTTGTATAGACATCAAATAGTATGCTTCATATTTTGCTACCTCATCCTCTTATTGTTTTTTTCTTTAAAGAGTTTATAATCTAGAACAGGGGTCAGCAAACTTTTTCTGTAAAGGACCAGATAGTAAATATTGTGGGCCATATAGTCTGTTGCAACCACTCAACTGCCGTCATAGCACAAAAGCAGCCACAGGCAATGCATAATGAGTACTTGTGTTCTGTCAAAACTTTATTTATGGACACTGAAATTATACAATTTTCACATCATAAAATATTCTTTTGATTTATTTTCCAAGCATTAAAAAATATAAAAATGATTTAGTTCGTGGGCTGTACAAATACATAGGTGGTGGGCCTCACTTTGCCCAGGGACTGGTAAAAACACAACATTATAGTAAACAATCAGTATGGCCTGGAGGGCTACTTGATCTGGTTCTCACAGTGGATGTGTTGAGGGTCACAGCTCTCCAGACCCTCTTGCCTGCATTGCAGGTTCAGAAATGGATTTTGCCAGTTTACCTTCTGGTGATCCTGCCGTAAGGAACTAGGTTTCTCTACACATACAAAGCCTGACTTACCAGTATAAGTATCCATTATCACTTATCTTAACTAGGAGCTATGGATCTACAGAGTCCATGGATAAACACATTTGTAATATGCCCCACTTTTTGATCATCATTGTCAATCTTCACAAAACATGTGAGAGATCAGCCATTCCTTCCTGTTGAAAACTCTTCAGCTTTGAGATGTTAAGCTCTCCTGCCTTCCTGAGCACTCCTTTCCCGTACCTTCAATGTCAGTGCTCCAAGCTCCCGAGGGTCCTCTTTTTGCATTCTGTGAGTGAGTTTGTGATCTCGATGTCCAAAGCTCCAACTGTCCCCTGAAAACTGCTAACTCAAAAATCTTTATATCCTGCAGACGGTTATTTTGATTATCAGAAGTACTTAGCTGCCTGCCTACCAGATAACTTCCAGGGATCTCAAATGTAGCTTGTTCAAAGTTCAGCTCATCAATTCCACCTCCACACCTGAATTTCCTACCTCAGTGAAGACAGCCAGCCACCCCATCCCCAAGTCAGACACCTGTCTTCTAAATGGTCATGTCATACATGCACATACCTCCCCTCTGGATTTAGAGCTTAGTCCCTGTGTAAAATGCAGTTACATTTTATGTTTTAAATCCATCCCTTCCCCACCATCTCCACTTCCTGTGACACATCCAGCCTTGTTATTTTTGTAGTCTGAATCAATGCAGGAGAATTTTAATTGGTTTCCCTGCCTCTAGTTTCATTTCCTTCCAGTCCCTTGTCATTACTGCTTCCTCAGTGTTGCCTAAAACTTTTAAGGCCCATGGTGATCTGACTCCTCCTTCCATGTCAACTCTATTGCTCCTTGCTTCTCCCATCCTCCCCTCTCTTCCTGCTTACTGTTGGCGAGATGAATTAGTTGGTTTCGTGTCTCTCTGTATGTACTGTTTCTTCTCCATGACCTTCTCTGGCCTGGTTGTTAGTTTACAAGCCTGTCTCCCCAGCTGAAATATGAGGCCTAGGTACAGAGGTCTTGTCTTATATATCAGTAGTTAAAATCTATCAGTAGTTAAAAGCTTCTGCCCTTGGTCTGCACTGCCTAGGGTCAGTCTCAGTTCCGCCTCATTAGCAATCAGCTCTGAGAAAGTTACTTAACTTTTCTAAGCCTGGGTTTCAACATCTGTAAAATTATGATGATAAAACTATCTACCTAAAGGGTAGTGAACCTTTATTTACTCTCCAGTTAACATTTATTGAGTGCCTACTTTGTGAAGGTGTCATTCTAGGTGCTGGGAATTTAGAGGTGAAATTGGCTTATAATGTAGCAGGAGCAGAATGACAAACCAAACATGGAAAAATAATAACTCAAGATAGTGCATGAATAAGTGCTCCAAAAGGAAAGGAGGGCAATAGCATAGAATGACTAGGAGGAGGAGGGTCTGCTTTAACTCTGGTGGTCAAGGAAGACCTCTCCAAGGAAAGGACATTTGAGCTGAGACCTGAATGATGAGGGGTGTCCACACAAAGACCTGAGGGAGAGTACAGGCAGAGAGAATAACAGGCTAAGGCCCTGGGGTGGGAATGAACTGGGTGTTAGGGTGATAGTCAGGTTATGTAAGGCCTTGTAAGCAGTGGTAGGTAAGGAGTTTGGATCAGAATGTATTCTAATTCTGATGGCAAGTCGTTGAAGGACTTTAAGAAGGCAGTGATGTGACCTGACTTAGGTTATAAGATCCCCAGCTGCTGAGTACGGGTACCTGAGAATTGTTGAAGGAATAGATGCATTTACTGAATTATGTGATGTTTTATTGTTACACTAAAATGACTGTCTCTTTTTGTATACTTAGAGCATCGAATGGCCTCTGAAACACCCTCGTGAATTTGTTAGGATGGGCCTGACACAGCCCAAGGGAGTTCTCCTGTGCGGTCCCCCTGGGTGTGCTAAGACCACCCTCGTGAGGGCCCTGGCCACCAGCTGTCATTGCTCCTTTGTTTCAGTGAGCGGAGCTGATCTCTTTTCACCTTTCGTTGGAGATTCAGAAAAACTCTTGTCTCAGGTTTGTTGGTTTATTTTCTCCACGTAGTTAAGTTTACTTTTGAATTTTCATTTCATGCCTTAAGGATAAACCTTTTTAAAAATGTAACAGGCTTTTTATTCATTACTAGAGGCCTGATGCACGAAATTCGTGCAAGGAGCTCGGCCCTCGCAGCCCTGGCTTTGTCCAGAAGGTCGATAGCTGTCTAGTCTAATTAGCATATTACGCTTTTATTATTATAATTTAGAAAAGTTATGTATTTGTTTATAGAAAATTTAGAAAATATAGAAAAATATAAATAAGAAATACTTCATAACCCCTCCACCTACATTAATATTTTAGTGAATTTCTTTTGTCTTTTTATTTGCTTGGGCAGGAGATATATGTGTATCTTTATTGTGATTTTTTTTAATGTAACATCACTTTTAAAATTCCATAATATTAAAAATTATTTGAAAACATGATTTTTAACCCTTACATAATATTCATTTATTTATTTGTTCCCCAATTTTTAGGCATTTAGAATCTTTCTCTTCTTTTTACATTGTAAAAATAGTAATGTAGAAAACACATTCATCTAGGTAAGGCATCATATATAGCTTTTTAATATTTTTATTTTCCTAACAAAAGGTATTTCGACAAGCAAGAGCAAACACTCCAGCAATTGTGTTTTTGGATGAAATTGATTCAATTTTGGGTTCTCGATCAGTCAGCCAAACAGGATGTAATGTTCAAGAGAGTGTTCTTTCTGTTCTTCTGAATGAATTGGATGGTGTTGGACTGAAAACTATCGAGAGAAGAGGAAGTAAATCAGATCAACAGGGGAAATACAAGGAGCTGAAAAAAAATGAAGAGGTATTTATTAGCCAGATTCCACCAAAACTTCAGGCCCACATTAAACAGACCTACACTAGCTTGTCCTGAGCTGGCTTCATCTCAGAGGCGGAATTATATTCCTTCCATTAGGCTCTGTTAGGATATTTACAAAGCTGGTAAACTTGTGTTTTGGCTGGCAAAGGTGAGGTAAATTTGATAACAGCTATATATGAATGTGAATTTTATTTATTCTAAGATTTAGAAATATAACTTTACATATTGCTAATGGAGAAGGGATTTTCTTTTTATATATCTATATATATCCTAATGACTGAGTGTCAATCTCTTTCTAAATTTATTTTTTGTTAAAGCGGATTTTTTCCCCCAATAATTGTAGTAATTGAAAACTTTGTTTCCTTGAGGAAGGGGTTTCCTTGGTTATAATGAAGTTAAAATGACCTTTCTCCCTTCCGAGTCTTCCCCAGATAGAGGTTGATGTAATAAATTATCAAATAATCCCTGACAGATAATTTTTCTTGTCTTTTATTCTTTTCTTGTTATTACTTATTTTCCATTTTTAAAACTGTCCCGTAGAAAGAGAGTCACTTATAGCTCCTTAGGCCATATGCCACATGAAATGTTCTCATCAGATTTCATAGTGCATGAATTATTGTATAGCGTCTGATAGGTGTGTTTATCCAGCCTCAGCTAAAATACTTGCAAATATAGGGAACTCACTGCTTTGAGAGAACACATTAGTGTTGAACTACTCTGATTATTCAGTTCAACACATCATTTTACATGCTTAGTGTGTAAGGCCACGGCCTGGCTGCTTTTAGGTATTTCTTATTTGTATCCAGGATTTATATACTTGCAGCTTATAAGGGTGGTCATATTTCTGCCTCTGGAAAGAAAATTAAAAAGTAAAGTAAGTCTCCCTCTGTAAGGATGAGAGCCACAGCCTTTTCATAACCACACATCTCCATGTGTTTGTCATATGCATCTGTCTTTTTAAGTCATCTATTTAAATGTAAACATTCGCTGATGCTCAGGTGCCCTCAGATACCAGGTAGATGTTTTCTGCTATGAAGTAAGACTTTTCATGGAGAGATGTTCCCTCATGGTTGGCCACCCCCTTCCTCATGTGTACAAGTAGCTCTTGGATCAATCATTTGTTTCTGGGGTACCTTGATAACGAGAAGCTAGTCTGGATAGGAGGTATAAGCATCCCAGTCCCAAGAAAAAGATACCCCTATTTAAAAACAAATGATCCTCTGATTTGTAATTTTAAAAAAATACATTGAATAATTAACTTTATTTTGTGTTGTGTTTCTTCAGGTAGAGTTTGAAGAAGTTTTTAATCGAAATGTCATGATTGTTGCAGCAACAAATAGACCTGATGTGTTAGATGATGCCTTGTTACGGCCTGGAAGAATAGATAAGATTATTTATATTCCACCTCCAGATGAAAAGGTAATCATTGTACACACTTGCTCTGTGTGAACATTCTTAACACACATCAGTGTCTGAACTCTGAGGAGACTGGCAGAATTGAATCCCAAACAGGATATGGGTGTACATGGTATGTGTTGTACACTGGATTCTGCATTCTTCTTGCCTTTCAATCTGCTTTTTCTGGGTATTCCGGCGCTATTTTCAGAGAAACATAAACCTAAAAGTAAGGTAGTTACTTCAGTGAGTTTGGTGAGTCTACTCATCATTATTTTTCAACTAGAAAGGAGGGACTGTAAAGTGTTACAAGGATTTTGGAGCTTATATGGGTCAGCATCCTTGTTTTACATGGAGAAATCTGAGATTCTGAGATTCCATAATGTATTCACAGCCAAAGAATGAGTGAATTCGTTGCACTTAACATCCAGGGCCATTGGCAGGGAGTGGTGAAAGACACGGAGAAAGAATTTTTTCTCTTCCTTGGGCCTTTATCAAGTTTTGAAGGGATGAAAAAATTTTTAAAAATTTTTAATGTCTTATGTTTTTAAGTTGTGTCTGACAGTTCATGTGTTTACTTTTAAACATGTCTGATGGCACTGTTTATACCCAAAAGAGAGATTCATCGTGCCTCTTAAAGAGATATATCTATGGTTGGCTATTTTAAAAGTCAACTATAAAAATACTAAAATTTTATCATGATGTCATTATTTTTACCATTGTCATATGAGCCATTGATGAGTTAATCTTTCTTACCTCTTCAGAAGTGATTCTTATTGTTTAATTCAAATATATATATATATATATATATACACACACACACACACACACACATATATATATATTTGATAGGAAACTATAACTTGAAATGTTTTAATATAGCATCTATCAAACATAAATGTTATAAGGTTACAAACATATTATATTTTGTTCCAGGGCAGGCTTTCTATTTTGAAAGTCTGTACAAAAAACATGCCAGTGGGACCTGATGTTTCTTTAGAAAATTTAGCAGCAGAAACCTGTTTTTTCTCTGGAGCTGATCTTAGAAACCTCTGCAAAGAAGTAAGTTAATTGGTGGAGAAATCTATGGTTCAGAAAATGTCTTCCTTGATCTTCATTCACTCGGTATTTACTGAAAGACGTCTATGTGGCAGGCACTGGGCAGGGTGAAACAGACAGATGCAGCCCCATCCTATAGAGTTGATGGGCTGATGGGGAGTGTGCAGAGAGGCAAGTCATAATACTAATTGGCGATTGGAAATATGTAGTGAGTTGGGGGAATTTAAGGTGCTTTGGAAACATCTAGGAAGAACACCAACCCAGATTGGGTGTCATAGAAGGCTTTCTGAGAGAGGGTATGTGTAAACTGAAATTGGGAGGATGATGAGGGAGTAGCAGGCTAAAGGAGGGAAGAGCAGCGTTTGAGGCAGAGGGAATAAAATATGCAGACAATTGGAGATAAGTAATGACGTTATTGAAGAGGTGGACAGTGGCTAGATCACTCAGGTCATTATAAGACACGTTAAGGCATTTAGACTTTATTTTAGGGCAAAAGAAGCCATTGTCCAGTTTTCCCTTCCCATGAATTTTTGTTAATGATTTTTTTATTAATATTTTTATTGTTCAATTACAGTTTACATTCAATATTATTTTGTATTAGTTCCAAGTTAGACGATTATACTTTACAAAGTGGTCTTTTCGATATTTTCAAGGCACACCTGGCACCATACATAGTTATTATAATATTAACTGTATTCCTTGTGCTGTACTTTACATCCTTATGACTGATTTGTAACTCCCAATTTGTTCTGCTCAATCCCTTCACCTTTTTCACCCAGTGCCCCAAACCCACTCCCCTCGGGCAACCCCCAGCATGTTCTGTGTATCTATGAGTCTATTTCAATTTTGTTTGTTCATTTATTTTCTTCTTTAGATTCTGTATATAGTGCAATCATATGGTATTTAATCTTTCTCTGTCTGACTTATTTCACTTAATACCCACTAGGTCCATCCATGTTGTCACAAATGGTAGGATTTCTTTTTTTATTATTTATTGTTGAGTAATATCCCATTCTATGTGTGCACTGTAGCTTTTTTATCTACTTGTTCTCTGGATGGGCATTTGAATTGTTCCATACCTTGGCTACCTATATATATAAAAGGCCAATATGCTAAGTGTCTGACTGTCTGACCAGTCACTATGACACACACTGACCACCAGGGGGCAGACACTCAATGCAGGAGCTGCCGTGACGCGCACTGTCCATTTACAGAGAAATGGCACCGTGGACCTGGCGCCCACAAAGCAACACTCGGCTCCCCCCAAGTGGGACACAGGCCCCGCCACCACCCTGGAGTGACAGCCCACCAAATCGCAGCTGACGCTACCGAGACCCCATGGCACAAAATGTGGCCCACAGCCCAGCCCAGCCTGGAAATGGTGGCTGTGGGTGCCGGGTAATGACATCATGTAGCAACGCCCGGCTTCCTCTCCCTAGTGACTAGCCTCCTTGGAGTTTCTTCAGCCCAGAAACATGACACTTGATAGCCAGGTGGAATCATTTTACAGTTTAACCAAGTGTCTGTGAAGCGTTTTCCCGTGCCTCATCTCATTTGATCCTCACAGAAGTCCTGGAGTAGGTAGATAGGAGACTCAGTAGAATCCTATTTTCTTTTCATTAGCCGGAAAACAGAGATTTAGAAGCTTGACCCCACTGAAAAGAAGTAAGAAATGGTGGAACTTAAAAATGACTTCAGGTTTTCTCACTGTGCAGAATATAGTCAAACACTGCTACAGTTAAATATTTTACCCTTTGTTCTCTCTGCGTGATCTGCAATAATAATCTGCTTCATGTTGATATTTACTGCTGTGTTGCTGACAATTACCTGAAAGAGAAGTTGGGGTGCTTCACTGGGCTGGAAAAGGTTTAGCTAAATCAGAAAGCAGGTCTAATTAAACAAGTTTCTTCTATATAGACCATATATAAAAGGCTAAGTTGACTCGCGCATGCACGATATGTATAAAGCTCTTGCTGGTGCCAGTTGCATGCATGTGTTTCGATCTGTCATTGTCGATCGTGAATTTGGTTGACACTTCTATTATAGAGCAAGAGCGAATAGTGATATTAAAATATTTCTTCTAATTAATTTCCTTTCAATATGCACAAATTCGTACACCGGGCCACTATTTATTAGTTATAAATAATGCTACAAGGGACATAGGGGTGCATATATTCTTTCCATAAACTTCTATAGAATATAACATTCAGAAGGATGCACAGATCATAAGTATACAGTTCATTGAATTAACATAAAGTGAACACACTTGTATATATCCACCACTCGGGTTAAGAAAGAATATTAGCAACTTCCCAGAAGCCTTTCTTGGGCCTTCCCACTCTCTATCCCTAAGGAAAGCACTCCTGAACATTCAGGTTACTGCTATTTTGCTATTATGAAATATGCTGCTATGAACAATCTTGAATATGTCTATTGGTATACATGTGTATATATGTGTGTTTCATGTATGTATATATCTATAAAGAGAATTGTTGGGTCATAAAGTATGTATTTGATCTGTTCCTTTATGGTCAGTGCTGTGTCCTGTTTAGAAACTCCTAGTCTGGGGTCAAGAAGATAGTCTTTCATCTTTAAATATGTAAATGGGCTCATAATGTATATATTATTCTGCAATTTGCTTTTTCTTTTTTTCCTATTTAAGGCCAGAGTTTAATGTAGAAGAAAAGTTCTAAGAGGACTTTCAATCATTAACTTTTTAGCTTAATGTTCTTATTGTCATGGATACTGGAATTCTATGAAATATGACTGAGATTTTTGCATTCAGAATTTATATATTACAAAACAGAAATGGAGCAACTTATCTCTTATTGTCTCTTATAGGCTGCCTTGCTGGCTCTGCAAGAAGATGGACTAGAAGCAACCACAGTGAAACAGGAGCACTTTCTAAAAACCATAAAACTTATTTCAGAAACAAGGATTTTCTAACTTAGAGGATATTTAAAAATTACATGCCTGCTCAAGTATCAATTAAAATGTGAACTTGCACTATAGTTTGCAAATTCACTTTTAGGGTTTGTATATATGGTATTTCCTGTAAATAAAAAAATCGAACAATCTTGTGCCTGATAAGCCAAGATTCATCTTAGTTCTAAAAGGTATATTAAAATACCATAATTTAGAAAGAAAGTATATATATTACGTTGATTTTGTAGTGGGGTGGTTGTTTTTGTTTGGTTTTGGTTGATTGCTTTTTCAACTTTATTTTGAAATAATTTCATACTTATAGAAAAGTTGCAAGAATAGCACAAACAACTCATATATTCTTAACCCATATTCACCATTTTTTTAACATTTTGCTATATGCTGAACAGACATACCTCATTTTTATTGCGCCTTGCTTTATTACGCTCCCAAGATGTTGCATTTTTTACAAATTGAAGGCAAGACCCTCCACCAGCAAAAAGATTACAACTCGTTTTATTGTGATACTTTATTGCAGTGGTCTGGAACCGAATCTGAAGTATATCTGAGGTATGCCTGTGTTTAAGAATAGGTATTATACCTAATGCCCCTTCATCCCCTTAATACTTCAGTGCATATTTCTTACAAATAAGGTATTTTCTTATATGACCACAGTGCACTTATCAAATTCAGGAAATTGAACATTGATACAATATATTAATCTATTGACCCATGATTTTCCTCCATTGTGCCAGTAGTCATACAGGATCCAGTCTAGGACCCTATGCTCCACTTAGTCATCCTGTCTCTTTACTCTTTTTTTTTTCTTTTATTATATATTCTATTGATTTCAGAGATGGAGAGGGTCAGAGAGATAGAAACATCAATGATGAGAGAATCATTGATCGGCTGCCTCCTCCACACCCCTACTGGGGATGGAGCCTGCAACCCAGGCATGTGCCCTGACCAGGAATCGAACCAGCCACCTCCTGCTTCACAGGTAGATGCTCAACCATTGAGCCACGTCGGCGGGGCTGTCTCTTTACTCTTTAGCCTCTTTTAATCTGAAACAGTTCCTCAGTCTTTTTTGACCTTGGCATTTTTTGAAGAGTACAAATTGTTTTATAGAACAACTAGAGGCCTGGTGCACAAAAATTTGTGCGGGGGGGGGGGCCCTCAGCCCGGCCTGTGCCCTCTCGCAGTCTGGGACCCCTTGGGGGATGACCACCTGCTGGTTTGGGCCCATTCCCCAGGGGATTGGGCCTAATCTGGCAATCAGACATCCCTCTGGCAGCCAGGGAGCCCTTGGGGGATATCCATTTGCCAGCGGGGAGCAAGCCTAAGCTGCAGTCAGACATCCTTAGCGCTGCTGAGGAGGCAGGAGAGGCTCCCACCACCACCGCTGTACTGGCAGCCATCAGCCTGGCTTGTGGCTGAGCAGAGCTCCCCATGTGGGAGCACCCTGACCACCAGAGGGCAGCTCCTGCATTGAGCGTCTGCCCCCTGGTGGTCAGTGTGTGTCATAGTGACCAGTCATTCCCAGTCTTTCTGCTGTTGGGGTCAGTTTGCATATTACCCTTTTACTATATAGGATAGAGGCCTGGTGCATGGGTGGGGGCCGGCTGGTTTGCCCTGAAGGATGGGGGTCCCCACTGGGGTGCCTAGCCAGCCTGGGTGAGGGGCTGATGGCTGTTTTCAGGCTGGCCACACCACCTTTAGGGTGGGGGGTCCCCACGGGGGTGCCTGGCCAGTCTGGGTGAAGGGTTGAGGGCCGTTTTCAGGCTGGCCAAGCCTCCCCAGCAACAGAAGCTCCCAGCCTCTCCTTTTTTTCTTTTTTTTCTGGGATTTATTTACCTTCTATAATTGAAACTTTGTTGCCTAAGAGGAGCTTAGAGCCTGCCAGGGCAGGTGGGAGGGAAAGCCTCCTGCGCTCCAGCTCTGTGGCCACGGCCACTGAAAGCAGGTATCTGGGGTTTGTTTAGCTTCTATAATTGAAACTTTGTTGCTTTCGGAGCTCAGAGCCGGGCCGCGGCAGGCGGGGAACCTTGGCTTCCTCCATCCCTGGAGCAAGCAAGCCTCCTGCTCGTTCCAGCTCCGTGGCTGCCATCCGCCATCTTTGTTGGCAGTTAATTTGCATATCTCGATTAGCCAATGGGAGGCGTAGTGAAGGTATGGTCAATTACCATGTTTGTCTATTATTAGGTAAGAAGATGCTTCCTGATCTGTGTTTGTCTGATATGGCACCATGATAGATTCAGGCTCTGCCTTACCAGTGAGCAGTATGTAAGTGCTGTGTCCTTAGAGATCACATTAATTTTGACCACTTGTTTATGGAATTATTGAGTTTCTCCACTGTATAGCTACTATTTTTCCTTTTATAAGTATTTTTAAGGAGGTAGATTATGTATACATCTTTATTTTCCATTATTATGAAAGCAATTAGAATGCTAGAAAATACAGATGAACACAAAGAAAACACTTGAGTATTTAACCTTCCAGTTCCTTATGGACGCATAGATAAGACATGGTTTACTATGTAACTTGTTTTTCTCATCTAACAATATCAGGTAAGCATCTCACTGAGCCTTTCTTCACTCACAAGTATACGCAAATGAGACAGGCATGGCAGCTGGGAGCATGGGTCTCAGACAAATCATGCAGGAAGTTACAACCAAAAGGAACTAAGGGTCTGATCAGAGCGTAGTGCATGAAATATATGAAGTCATAAATGTTAAGTTGGAAAATTTTCTATTTCTGATTGAAGCCAGGACACATTGATTAAGCCAAACCTCACTATTTGGGGAATAATTATTTATAGGCATATAATTCATCTAAGTTATTCTAACAACCTGACCCCTCACTTTTGAGTAGTAGGGGAAATACCTAGAAAACTTAGAATTCTGACAGCTTTCATTCATATTCTCCATCCGTATTGGTTTTATAGGACAAGGCAGCATTGAGCCTTTGCCATCCCTGGTTGGAACCCCTCCCTCAGGCTCTAGCTGGAGGCCCCCCCCCCTTTTTTTTTTCTAGAAAAAGTTCCTAGTGTCAGTCTGGAAGTCTGGTACCCATACTTTGGTTAGAAGCTGAATTTTGATGTGAAAATGTCTCATCAGAACTTCGGAAGCCCCCTGAGGACAAAAGCCATGTGTTTTCTCTCATTAAAATACTCAATAAATGATGATGTCAGATCAAGGATTTCTTTGACTCCGTTCCCCCCCCACACACACACACACCCCAAGTTTGTTGGGATAATATTGGTTAGTAACATAAATTTCAGGTGTACACCTTTATAAAACATCTGTATTGTGTGCTCACCACAGAAGCCCAGTCTCCTTCTGTCACCATATATTTACCCTCTCATCCTCCCCCACCTCACTTCCCCTTTGGTAACCACCACCAATCTGTCGGCTTTGACTCCGTTTTAATCTGATTTGAGGATGGCTCTGGACAGCTTCCAAGAGTTGTTCTTAATAGTGGTGAGAAAATTAAAATACTTCAGTTTCTAAGCACCTGGGAAGTATAGTTTTCCCTGTGCATTGAGTGGAAACTCCTTTCTGAGCCACATCAATAACCTTAGACAAAGGTATACCCCCAGACCTCCCAAAGTTGAGCAAATCCAGTAATTGCTAAACCTGGTAATTAGGTACCCACTGAAGGGTAGGCAGAATTAATTTTAGCAAAAAGTATTTAATAAAATAATATTTTCATTACAAAGCCTGAGCTGGGCTGACTAAAATCTAATTCCTGGTGTGTGGGAACCAAGCAGTATCGCTCCACACATCCCTGAAAACCTGGGTTGCAGCAGCTAGAGAAGGTGCTAGAAGTTTCTGGTGGGGAAGGGAAGCTCCCCCGAGGGATTATGGGCTTTGGGGCAGCCACAGAGGATGAAGTGTCCTGAGTGGGTTCCTTTGGGGTTTGAAAGGTGAGAACTGTGCCTGGTAGTCATCCTGGGGAAGACCAAATTCCATACTGACCTTGCATCTCCCACAAGTTCATCAACCTGGGCATTCACTGAAGGGGAAATGTGGCTTGCTGGGTGTAATTCTAATTTCGCTGCCTCTGGCTCTGCAGCTCCTTTTCCGGACCCCTTTTTAGGGCGCTGGTTTTCACCCAGGCCCTGGCCAGCAGCGATCCCCCTGTTCTCAGTTCCACCCGCTTCCACACCCTGAGTTCCCGGAGCGCCAACGCCCAGCCAGGGCGGGTAATAATCGCAGCGAACGGCAGGGGGCGCCCGCATTCGGCTGCACAGGGTCTGCGCGCGCGGCGTCCTGCGG